GGAAGAGGGCAGTTCAGCTTCAGCTTTTGGTCTGCACAAAGGAGCTGCTGCCCTTAAACTTTAGGAGGAGCTTTAAATAGATCGCACCTTTGTCAGAAAGGAGTTCTGCTTCACGTACGTTTTAGGAGGCTTGTCTTTAGGCTCTAGAAATCTGCTGGGCAGTGATCTAACACGAGTTTTCAGTGTGTTGTCGCAGAATGAAGTTGAAGACCGTTCGTTCAAGGCAATATTGTTGTCTCTCTTAGATATAGGCCGCTCTGCTGCTTCTCATGCTGTTGTCTCTGTGAAACTTTGCTAAAAGCTTTAAGCCCTTTTACAGTTTCTGCATGTGTGGAATTGCATGTGGAAAATTAAACAAGAGCTGGCATGGGACTGGTCTCTTGGGAATGAGGAAACTTTAAAAAGTTGTTTCCTGATCAGCAGCACTGTTGACAACTGATTTCCTCTGATTGAATGCCCTCTGTTCCCTAATTTCGTCTTCCATCTATGTTCCTTATGACGCACCGTACGCACAGGCAGAGAGTTAATTGCTCTCAGACTAGTTTGAGGTAGCAGTGCTGAGGGGCCAGACTGTTGTTGCCACATGAGCAACAGCAGTTCAGTCTCTGGCCTTAGAGGGGACATCGCTTTGGGTTTCTTAGCTACCTGAATTTGTTACTACTTCATGAAACCTGTAGGAATTTGATCGTCACTGACACTTTTATAGTCTTGAAACTTTTCCTGTGGATTGAAAAAAAAGATGGTGGGAAGAGGAGGAAGAGCTTATTAGGCAGTGTGGTTGTAGAGCTTCCATGAGAAACCAAGGAAAGCATGAAAGTGATGATAAAGTGCTGCTCTGAAATATACAATCAGTAAAAGGATTGTATTTAGACAGACTTTAAACATTACACTAATATGAAGGTCCTGTGAGGGCAATACCTTTTTCAGCGCCTCGAAACATTTCTCTCTCCTTTTCTTGTGGATGCTCTTCAAAAGCTCTGAACCCATTCCTGTACTATTGAATAGAACAGAATATTGTGTAGAGCTTTATAACATTTGAGATGTTATGATGTTATTTATTTGAATGCAGTTAATATCAAAGTTGAAAAGTTACATTGTGTTGACATCCTGTATAGAAAGTGTGCTAGTGGTCCAAACTGATTTTATTGCCCAAGAGAAAAACAGATAATGACTCAGTATATTAAGTTAGCTATAAGAGAGTAAATTTCTGTTTGAGAATCTATTACTGTAGAATTCTAATTCTGTTTATCTGTTTAATTTCTAGGCACTAAAAGAAGATAATCATCCATACTAAACACCTGGAACTTTGAAAATTTTACTGTCGTAACACTAGATAATGTTATATTGTTATGTTATTTGGTGATGCAACTTTAAAGTGGAATACAAGATGCCAGCTGTTGAAGATCTAAGTACTGAATCAAACTTCATTGCACATTGGATGTCTGACACTTCCCGTGCTGGAGTCTTACTAGATCCTAATTTTCCTAGGCTGAAAATCAACAAAGAAAGTGTGTTATCTGGACATGAAAACATCACAGCTTTCCTTGCAGAAGTGCAGCATCTTTCAAACAGCTGCTCTCTAAGTGAGGACTCCTTGTGTGAAGAACAAATACTGGAAGCTGGCAGCTCTTGTAGACTTCAGCAGCAAACCACTGAAACATCTTTTTCAGCAGCAGCATATAATTTAGAAGCCTCTCAAACAGAACTTGTCCATGGTGAAGTAAATGGTCAGAATAAATCAGATTACAATGATCCACTCTTACAAAAGCTTGAACAGGTAAAAGCTTGACGTACACCAAGTAAAATTTACTTTGCTCCAAGTATCCAAGACTTGGGGACCCAAGGGCCTGGATATATGACTCTACGATTGATTTTTTTCCCACCCCCCCTTCCTCCTGGAAGTGATCCTGCTAGTTAAGTCACTGTAGTTGGTTGTATGTCTGCTTGTAGCTCTCCCCAGTTGCCAGATATATGTTAGCTGAAAAAGTTAAGAGACGCTTTAATAAATCTTCCTATTAGGGATCAAGAACTTGCTGACATCTTCGTCCCATCTGCTAGAATTATTTCAGCACAAATCCCGACATCTGTTCATTCAAATGGAGAGAGAGAGAAAAAAAAAAAAAAAGATAATCTCTAAGAGTAGAATGTCACACAATCCTATAAGCTGTTTCTCTTTTACATGTTAGGAAAATATATTCACTTTCCCAGGTCAGCAGCATCCAACAGTGGCTAAATAATGGATATTAGTTGGTTCTAATGTTGATATCTGAAGAGGAATTGTTAAGTGTTATGTCTAGTAGAATTGTTAGGCAAGGTGGAAATAGTATGTGCGTTCATAGATGGAAAAAATGACAGTTTTGTTCAGGATAGCACTTCATAGTTTTTAGATTTTTCATTTTTTTCATGTTGTACTTACCTAATGGAGCATCTTTAAAACAGGAAATACCTGTTATTTTGATGATGCTTATTCTGAGATATATCTAAGTAAACTTACCTTCAAACACATTTATTTTTTGCATGAAAAGCTGAAGGAATTGCAGCAACAGAAACAGGAACAGCTAAAGAAACAACAGATGGAACAACTTCAAAAGCTTATGGAAGAGCAGCAGAAGCTACTTAGCATGGTATCTGGCCAGAAGGCAGTTCTTGGTAAGTTGAGAAATAAAGCAGATGAGTTACCTTGAGTAAAGTGTAGAGTTCAATCTCATTTTCCAGTAAAAATGAGAAAGTGTATTTGATGTTCTTCTATCTTAAAACTACTTGGTTAGTCAAAGATAAGTGGTGCATCATTTCAGTGTTTGATTATGTTCCTTCTACAGTAGCACCCAAATATCCTATTGTTATAAAATGCCAAATATAACTGTAACTTAATCAACCTGCGTTATGGGAGCCCTTGTTTCAAAGAACATAGTCTAAATATAAAAGATAGTATAAAATAGTTGCTTTCCTCTCTGATTAGCTGTTTCTAACAATATTTTTGATTGCTTTAAGCTGGCATTGTATCCAAAAGAAGTGATCCTTCCTTATTTGTGATTGTGGAGCACAAATTGTTCAGATGATGAACTGGACTGGGAAGCTGATCTTTGTTTCAGAAAAACCAACCGACTGACCAAAAAAAACCCCAACCAACCAAAACCAAACACTTGTAACCTGGATCAGTTTTCCAGTCTAATTTGTTATGTGCAAAGGGAGAGGACAGCACTGGAGTGGAAAAAACAGTCAACTGAGCAGGGGCGCTTTCATTTGCTGGGAGTATCAGTCTGTGCTGACTTAAATGACTCTCTCTCTTTCGCTCTGCCTACCTGAGTAAGCTCTTCAGTGCCATTTCTTTTCTTTTTGCAACAGTAGTGATATAATACAAATACAATGACACACTTTTTTTTAATTTCAAGGCTCTCCTCTAGTAGCTGAAGGTCAAAACCTAAGATCTGAACATTCAGTGGGCTTGACAGCTTTGCACCAGTTTCCATCATCTGTGTATCAGAACTGCAGTGAAGACAGAGCTTTTGCTCTGAATAATGTTTCTTCACGTACACAGGACAGTGGATTTTTACAAACGTTAAACAACAAGGAATGCATCTCATCTTTCAAGAGCACTCTTTCAGCAGTCTCTGCCTGTGAGAAACAATGCCTGGGTGTGCCTCTGAAAATGAGGAATTTCTTGAGAAACAATGAGGAAGACAACTATACCACTGGTTAGTCATTTGTTGAAAGATGCACCCTTTTAAGATAACTTGGTGTTGTGTGGGTTTTTTTTTCCCCGCAGATAGCTACTGAGCGTAATAATTGCTACCATTTATTGTTTTTAGGCAAACATTGGTAAATATTTCATCAATTGATGTACTGTCAGCTTGTAGGCCTCGGAATGTTCCTGTTGATGCCCATTTGAGTTTTGTTAAAAGTGGCACGCAGAAAAATCAGGTTCTTTTGTTCATATAAAGTGTTTATCTGTTTTAGGAAAAGCTATAATCGTTACTGTTAAAAGCCTATATATGATAAAGACTGGGAAAATGATAAATAACGACAAATCTTGGATAGCTGGGTTGTTCGTAAGTTGGGCTGAATTGCACATACGTTTTCATATGGTGAACGGAAAATAACAATCTATCCAGGAATAGAGAATGTCTTCTGATCACCTCTATAGTGAGGATCAGTAACTAAACTGGAAATAGGGGTCAAGATGGCTGTGAGTTGACAACGAGATCCCACTGTGTAACTAGAAGTTACTTATACGTCAGGAACAATGCACTAGAGTTCTTCACCTTTCCTGCTCTCCTCAGTTTTACTATTGGCACCAGAGTGACTATTATGCTGCTATGACTGGGATGCTGTTTTCAGTTTTAATTTAGCAATTTGATATGGTTGCTGAAAACTTGTTTCAGATAAAAGGTATGAGATTGCATTTCATCCTACTTTATAGCTTCTTTAAAACTTGTAATCAGAAGGGTTGGTTAAGAGGATGTAAAAAGATTAATTGATCTTAATTTATATGTACGTACATGGGAAACAAACTTGATAAGAGAGCTCTTCTGTACAGTAGACAAAGGTAAAGTAACTGAACAAATTTGGATTTAAGTCATAAATTAACAACAGCAAAGAAGATTGAACAATTATAGTGAGGTACTAAGATCTGTGGAAAATGTAAATGCAAAATTGGATGTTCCTCCAACAAGAGAGCTTCAATTCAAATAAGAATCAATTTGGGGAAATCTTAGGACTATTTTATGTCCTATGACCACAATGCTCCCTTCTGGTTTTAATCTCATCTCAATGCTTTGTAAAAGTAGAGCCAAAAACTGATTTTATGTTAGAAAAAAAATACAGTTTCCTGTCATTTCATAGGAAAAAACATAAGGTATCCAGAACAAAAGATGGAAAAATCCATGGAGAACAAAGACTGTCACACTGATCACGCATGTGTTGCAAGTGCAGATTTCTCAGAAAACGTGAATGGAGAAAAACACTTACGGGTGACCAATACAGAGGAACGGTAATTAAGACAATTGTTATGCATAGTTTTTATCAAATAGGTAACACTAGTTTGACTGATTTCTGGGTCCTGATTAAAGAGTCTAATATTCTCAATTTGTATAGCTTTCCCAACCAAAGATTTCACTTTGCTAGATACTGTAGAGACCAGTGGTAAGAGAGACTCTGGCTTGAAATCACCTGTGCTGTGAAAGACATGGCATAAAGAGGTGTGTGCATGTGCAGCAAGAGGTAATGATAGTTTAGAAGCACTTTTTAGTATAGGCTTAGTATATAAACAGTTACAATTACTGCTCTCAGCCTGATTAATTACAACCTCCTCCTCACTGTTAGGTGGCAAAAGAAGTGATGTGAAGGAAGAGTGTAAGGCTATGACTTTTTAGTGTATTACCAGGAGTTATGTTAGTGCAAGCATCTGTAGATGGTCCAGAAGTAATAACAGTGCTCGGAGGAGAAGCCTTCTCATGTATAGTAATCGCTTTATTCCTGGAGTTGGTGGAATAAAAATAGTGGTGGGCATTGTTTTAAAGCTCTACCTTAGCTGCCTGATCATCAAAAAGCTAAGAAATATTTGTTCCAGACAGTGAAGGAGTAGGAGTATCTAATCAAAGGGAGAGATAAGGAATGTTCTCTCAGTGGCATTACTGTGAATCAGTGTTAAGGCTATATTGTATAAATTGGCAGTATGACTAGGACCTGAGTGAAAGTTTGATGGTTCAGGCAGAAGAAGAATGGGTTGTTGAGAAAAGCAATGAAAGAAGAAACAACTTGCCTATAGTATCTTCTGCATACATGTTGTTCATTATAGCAGGGATTTGATAAACCACTTCTTGGAAGATAAACAGACAGTGGTATAATGCATTTCTTGGGTTAACTTGCCACTTAATGTCTAAGTATTCATAATTTCTCATCTTTTGTGTAATTAGATCTTAGGTCTTTGAATAGCAATGATGTTACATTTTTATATAAAGTAACTGCATTTAAGACTTGGTTCTAAATTACACCAGACCTATCAAAGCTGGGATTCAGGAGAAGAAACAGACGTTTGAAGAATTCCTGGAAGAACAGATACAACTAGAAGAACAGCGTCTGAAGCAAAATCGAGAGTTACAGGTTCTTTTTTTTTTTTTTTTAATTTTATTGCTCTTTATATATTGTGACAAAGTGTTATAGGTATTTTGCAAATGTACAAGGCACGTTCTAGTGTCTAAAAGCTAACATGGAGTGCAATGTTCAAATTTTTCAAAACAACAAACCCTAATTATTTCATTTGTTTCAGAGATCTTTAGAAATCCAGTAGAAACATCTTATATAAATGTGCATATGTGCGGTTATTTGAAGAAATCTTAATCTGTGTAAGGGGCTTTTAACAGTTTGTCTTTGTTCCTTTTCCTTACCCCCTTACAGGAGACAAATAGATCAACCATTCAAAAACCAGTGATCAAACGACCCTTCCTGAAAAGAGGAGAAGGCTTAACAAGGTTTACTAACGCCAAATCTAAGATAACAAAACTTAGAGAAAGCAACCTAAAACCTCAACAAAGTGCTTCAGAGGACAGAAATGTTAAAGTAGACCGATCACAAATACAGAAAAAAACTGTGCCTCTTGGTAAAGAACTGGTTTCTGAGAACTCTTTTGCACTATGTAAAAAATATAACCAGTCTGTTAAAGCAAAGCGTGGTCCTATTCAGAAGACCCTGGTACTCAGGAATCACAATGGAAAAAATATCTTTCCATTAGAAACGAGAGTGCAAACAGGAAAGAATCTTCATGGACAGATGAGAGATTCTTTCCCATCAGAAATGAACAAAATAGAAAATAAAGAGAACATCATGGAATTTGCTCAATCTGTTCACACTGGCAGCAGAATCAGAAAAAAATTACCTGACACAGAAAAGTCTCGTGAGCTGACCAGTGCCTTTTCTAATTCTAAATGTTCTATAAGACACCCTGTGAAAGAGCCAGAACTGTCTTTTGAAGTTTCATTTCAGAATAAATTGGAAAACTGGGAAAAAGAAAAGGAAAAAGAAAATCTAGAATTAGATGAGTTCTTGTTTCTAGAACAAGCTGCAGATGAAATATCTTTCTCCAGTAATTCCTCATTTGTGCAAAGGATCTTAGATCAAGATCAGCAGACTTTAAAAGGACGTAGAATGTCATCTACCCCTATCAAGGCAAAACAACAGCAAGTAAATGCACTGGCTATTACACTTAAAAATAAGAAAAATAAAAAGGCAAACTCTGACACACAGGGAAATAAAAATGACAGAGCAGTTATGCATACAGTATCAACTTCAGGAACAGCTCTTAGATTGAAGGATCAGCTCAATAAAGCAGATGATAGTATAATATTTTCGGCTTCTTCCGTGACAGCAAACCCTGCTTTAAAAAGTACTCAATGGATTGTAAATGAAGATAAGGATGAAGGAAACAGTGATATTACTACAGATTCTGAGAAAGAATCTGAGACCACATTAAAATGCGAAAGTGAAGATGCTAATACATCCCTTATGAGCCATAGAGAAAGCGATCCGGAATTTTTTGGTTATGGAGGCTCTGTTACAGACATTAGCAAAGAAAGAAAAAATGGAGATGCTGACCTTGACTTATCAGACAAAGACTGCAGTGTCCTGTCAAAGCCAAGAAAAGCTTCAGACCATCAGAGAAGTGTGCCTTGTACAAATAGGAGCAGGTTTGAGTTTGATGATGAAAGAACATGGAGTGATCTTGATGAAAATTATGTGCAAAATGATTTACCTGAAAAACATACAACTGAAATGCACCTACAGACAGACTTTTCCTGTAAAAATATCTTTGTCTCAGATAAAACAATAAAGAGAAAAGTTGCCTCAAAGAGGGGAGATGAATTGTCTAAACAGCCTACAGTGGATGGCGAATCAAATGGACCTCCTGTATCAAACCTGATGATGAAACTGTTTCCTTCACTGAAACCAAAACAGAAGACAGGCTGTCATTCAGAACATGAAATCAAATCAAATGTGGAGCAGGAGCCAGGAGGTGAGAAAACAGTGTCTGGTAGGAAGTATTGAAGACGAGGTGTATTCAGTCTTGCCTTCTACGATTTAAGATATAATTTGACATTACACCAAAGGGTGTAAGTATGCACTTCTGCTGAAGGGAATGGCCACCTTCTTATCCTTCATCTCCTCTCCCAGTTGCACATCTGCTGTTTCTCCTTGTGTCAAATATAGCAGTTGTGCAGCTTGCAGGATGAGTAAGATCAGTGAATGCTTATTTATATATAAATAAAATTATTTTCTTTCTGAAGGCTAACTTTCTCTCAGATCAGCACACTGTACAAACTTAATCTGAAGCTGCTTGATCACCGGTTCCAAATCAAGGGAAACGACAAAGGGATGCATAAAATGAAGCAGGATCTCCCTTTTCAGTGGCAGAGTGTATTTACACCACATTAGGGTAATGCCATGCACTGTTAGCTTAGTTTATTCCACTTATAACATAGGAGTAGGTGGCAGCCCTTCCTCTGTTTTCAGCCAACAGCACAATAGAGAACGCGCATGGAATATGGGAAACTTAGGTTGGTTTTCCTGCTCTGCCCAAGCCAATTTCAACTTTTTTAACTATAAGGTTATAGTCTGGGGAAGGACTCTCTTGGAAACCTCCTGTTGAAGCTGTTGCAGCTGTGAGATTGTTAAAAATGTTGTTCAGTGGGAGCATGACAGCATAGCCTAGCGTTGAATTCATTTCTCTGAGAGGAAGTCCTTCCTCTAGGAGGTGCAGAAATCTTGATTTCAAGCTTTGCTCTAAAGAATGTTAAGGATTTTTTTTTTTTTTATGAAAAGTTCATGAAAACTGCTGTTTTATATTCTGCTTATGTGTTGTGGAGAACTGATTTTGTAGGGCTGTCTAAAGATGCCTACTAGATCTTGTTTGCAGGGATAAGAGGGGTAGGTATTTACTGAATCTCAGCAGCATTTAAGGGTGGATGTGGCAACTAGCTATGCGCACTATCAAGACTTAGGCACTTCTCTCGCATACTCAGCAGCAGACCATTAAAACTCTAGGAAAGTTAAGTAGCGACTGAACAGGAAACTGAGGTGGCAGAGTAGCCCACAAATCCTCTGGCTCTGCAATGGCTTTCACCTCAGTGATGCATGTGAGCTGATTTTTTGGGAATAAAACTTGGTAAAGCTATATGCCTGTAATCTCTCCCGTTTGATTATTGGTTGTAACTCTGTCCTTATCGTACTTTCACTTTAATTTCTCTAGCTTGACATAAAAACCTGCTTCAAATTCCAATTCCTAACGTATATTTAGGTTTAGATAATAAATACATGCTCTCTATTCAAGGTGCCTAACTTAATAGTGCAGGGTGCTTTAAAAAATTGTCACTTTCTGTGTTATTGTAATATTAGATCTTTTTTGCATATTGCTAGTAAAATCAAGTTATACTATTTTTGAAGATAATGTGTGATAGTTGTTTACTTGAATCTTTATATGAATACTGCTTCTATAACTTGGATCTTGTCCTTTGCTAGGAAACACTGTTCCGTCCCAGATACTGAGAAAGAGACTCATTGAACTGGAAACTGAAATTGAGAGATTCAGAGCTGAAAACGCAAGTCTAACTAAACTCCGGGAAGAGAGAGAGCATGCCTTGGCAAATCTCAGGTCATTTTTAATTGAAAATACTCTTGTGTGTTCACTTAGATAACGTGTTCCAGACTGTCATATTCTGTTCCTACCTAGATAGTGTTACAGTAACATAGATATCTAATTGGTGTGTTTCAGTAACGGTGGTGACGTAGGTCAAGCAACTGGTGGTTCTCTGTATAGATATTAAACTGTAATTGTTACTCATACATGAAGTCCTAATCTAGGAATAATATTAAGAACCCCTCTTGGTTTAATGTGATATCCTTCGAGGCTATATGTGACAGTATTTTTCTTCTGTATATTTTGTTCTAAATGGTAACATAGTCTTACATTGATTTTTGCAGAGCTAATGTTCATGATTGATACTCTTCTTTTGGAGTGGATGTTTGTGTATAAAAACTGGGCATGTCTTGATTTGAACTGGAGAATTTACAAGTGACAAATAGAACAGAGTAATTATCTCTGGTGACTTACACACAGAACATTTTTTCCTGAAAACTAAAGTCACTTTCATTTTGTTTTGGAAATAGCATCATGTTGCTGGCTAATGTTTAATTTGTGACCTGCTGCTGTTAGCAGATTCTTTTTCACAATACTTTTTTTGGAAAGATGTTCTGTGGTTTTAAGGAACGTTGGCAGATACTAGCTAAAGCTTTGCTAAATTCAGGATGACTTTTGTGAGCAGAAGATAGCAATTGCCGGACTTCGAGTACTGGCTGTGTCACAGTTCTTACGTCTTAACAAGTAGTATTGTTTATAGTAAAGTCTTCCTGGGGGTAAAAAGATCGTGGTTTTAAATCAATTACCACCAAATTCAGTGTCTTTAATTTTCTCACTTCAAACCCAGATTTGAGGTAGATTTGGGCTAAAACAAAAGGAATTGTTTTATAATTACAGGAAAGAAATTGCAGGCTTTCAGCAGCAGAAAGCCCAAGAACTGGCAGAAATAGAAGAATATAAAAAGAAAGAAATGAAGAAACTGCAAAAAGAACGTAAAGTTTTTGAAAAATATACTACAGAAGCTAGAGCAATCCCAGATAAAAAAGAACGCGATGAAATTCAGGTACAAAAACGTTAATTCGTATTCTTCTAGTCGATGTGGGGAAAAACCTAAATTCATTTAAAGGAGGCTGAGAACTAAATTCAAACTTAAAACTTAATTTGGAGGATTGTAAGAATTTTAGTCTTTATAATATCATGCCTGAGGGTTTTAAGGCAAAAAAAAACCCCAATGAGCAATTTTTTTTTTCCCTGCTTCCATATTAGGAAGTGCTCATAACTATAGCAGAATGGTCTGAACTCTGACAGAAAATTACTCTAGTTAATATTAAGTTGCAAGTTTTTACTCATGGTAGTGGATCAAAATACAAAATAAAACTGTATTCAGGTGTGTTTCTGCAAATGACTTTTCCATAGAAAATAGTTATCTTCTACAATTTTCAGAGTTATGCTTTGTGATTACTTGTCGGTCTTTAAATGTCCGAGATGCAAGAAACCAGATCTGCTTGCCTCATGATTGTCAGGATGTGTAGTAATTGAGATATACAGTCAAGTCGTATTAAACATCCCATGTGGATTTCCCCTTTCCCCATACAGTTATTTGTTGAATTTCCTAACTTGCTTCAATCTGTTGAAGTAATGTCACTTGCTAAATGATCGGGCTAGACAGATTCATATGTGTTTTATAGGACTGTGGCCTCCCTATTCTCCCATGCCAAGATTTTTGAAGGATCTTCTCTAGGTAGCCTTAAAGTTATTTCACAGTTCTGACTCGTGTGTGTATGTGTGCTGGCCAGTCTCTGAGGTGCAAAGGATGCTGACAGGGGCATAAGGCACTTCGTGTGATTGAAGCTGAGATGATATAAAGTTGTTAGTCTAGAGTAAGTGATACCTCTTTCAGGGATGAAAACATCTCCTACCCTTCACCTTCTATCATTAAGCAGACCTTACCTGTCTTTTGTCACTGTCTCTTAGACTTCTTCTTTGTGCTTGTAAATTATTAAATATTAAAATCCTTTTGTATATTAAAATGCACCTTTTGAAATTTCAAACATGCATTTTTCTAAGGCTTTAAAGCAGCAGATTGCAGAGTTACAGGAAGATATAAAACGAAAAGAGACAAAATGGTTAACTACTCATCGACGCCTTAGAGATCAAATAGAAGCTTTAGTAAATGAGAATTTTGAGCTAAAACAAGAAATCAAAATTATGGAGAAGTTTCGTCTAGAAGCCTGGAAGAAAGCTGAAGGTGCTGGAAACAAGAGGAAACTTGAAAATTTGGGGATAAAAAGAGCAGAATCTGTCGTAAGTTATTAATCTCAGGCGTTTTAAATTGGTCTATGTGAATACTGCGCATTGTGGATTATGCACTTGGAATCTAATAGACACAACCTAGGTGTTTCCTTTAATTAAATAATCTTGGGGCTCTACTAGTGGTGACACAGACACAGAATTTTGTTTATGTCCAGTTCTGTCCAAACGTAAACGTTTGCTATGTGCAGCTTCCATTCTCTTTAGGAACTTACCTACTTAAAAATGATGCAATTATATGAGAAAATTAATGAACGGGATCTAACCTGAGAACATTTGCACCCGAAGTGTGATCCAGGGAAGCCAGCCGGTTCACCACTGCTTAGTTAGCTTTGAAACTAAATGCAACTGGTGTTAACTATTACTCTGGATTACTTGCACCAAATTAACATTCTGTAGTTGTTGGTATTAAGATAGCAGTCAGCGGAAGACTTCCAAAATATACCTTGGGCTATATTATAGAGCCCATATATAGTCAGCCCTGCTGCTGACTAAACCTCAAAAGTGTATAGTTCGTGTAGGAAGCTTCCAGTAAATTTCCTATCAGACGGTGTATGTTGGTAAGTTTTATTGCAAGCATGTGAATGGTTATGAATAAATGTCACATAAACCACCACTAACTCTTAGTAACTTCCTTCTAGTGTCTGCCCAGTAGAGGCCAGAAAAGTCAAACTCCGCCTCCAATTCTTCCAGCACAAAAGTGCAGCAAGATAAATGACAAAAGTTATTCACAGGCAAAAGGTATAAATGTTTGTTTAATCACAGAGTTCTCTTAACCCTTTTGAAGAAAGTAATGGGATTTTTGTTTGTGTTAGAGTGCATCACCAACTAAAAAGTAGATTGAGAATAGCTGAAATGGACTTGAGCGTACGGATAAATGCATTGCAGGGTAAGATTATGGAGAAAGCTGTGGTGATGCCATTGGTGGAATGCAAGTGCTTCTGATCATGTTGGTGGCTTGGGCCATACCAGAAGCTGCGTTCTGTAATCTAAAATGGCATTCATCTCTGAAGTTCTCCTAGCAATGGGCGTCAATCAGGTGACTATGTTAATAGCATCAGAACTGCTGCCTCTCTCCAGAGCCTTCTGTTAACAGCGTCCGTAAGCATACGGACAATGCCATAGCAATGGACAGTACTGCTGTTCTTTGGTTTCTTCTTTTCACAGTTACGAACCAATGCTGTTGGCAGCTGTACCCCTTCATAATGAATAATCAAATATGGAGAGTACTGGAGGGTACTTCTCTGACACCTCTCCTGTTAGGATGCTAAAGACAAACAACCATTATGTTATCTGTTAGAGGAGTGCACTCCAAAATTGAAGCCCTCGCTGGTTTTATTTTGGCAATCTTTCTAGCATGCTTGGAGAGGCATGGGAAAAGTCTGCCAATCAGTTCCTGTTAAAAGGTTACATTAGACTTGCTTTATTCGTTGCAAGGTATAACTAATAAAAACATTTAGTTATCTAGATTGTTAGAAAAAAACCTTCTTTGTAAATCTGTCTAAATAAAACAATAGAGAAGGTGCAAGTATTATGGCTCTTGCAATGCTTCTTCAGTTGTAGCTTCTCGCTGATATACAAAGCAGTAATACACCTGAAGGAGCTGGCTTATGCTGATTCTTTTCATAAATGTACTGCTTTCAATTTCTGCTGCGCATAATAAATGTACGTTTCCTGTACAGCATGACCTCATGTATATTTATGTTAATTTTTTCACTTCAATTATAGCTTGTTTTACTGTACAAATTAACTTTATTACATATATCTGAGTAGGAAAGCTTCCTAGAATACCTAAGTCAGCACCTGCTAATGAGAGAAGCAACTCTGAAACAATGATGGCACTAGAAGATTCTTCTAGGACTTTTATGGAAGTAAGTCCTGTATCTTGATTTGATTCTAAAGGAAAAAAAAACGGTAGTACAGTTTACTTTAATTAGTATCTGGAGAGTGACTTGTGAAACTGTTGACTCATCCTTATGTTCTTTAACAGCAATGTCATTATCAAAGCAGGAAATAATTATGCAGTAATCAGTACAGAATGTTTTACTTGTGTCTAGTATTCATAACCTTCTCTGGTTGAGGAAAGAAAATAAAATGATAAGCCCCCACCCCTTTGAATTTTGAAAAAGGTTTTTACTTCCAAGAGAGGGAAAAAGCTAGATATTTATATGTTCCATGTAGGGGAAAAAAACAAAACAGAACAGTTTTATGAAACTTCATCAATTGTTTCGTACCTTGATAAGGATGACTGGTTAGCTGGGCACTGTGCTGAAATGCTACAATGAATTCCATTTTAATCCAGAAAAAACTGACCACAGATGACAAATTACAGCTGAGCCCGAGTTTAATCTTATTTACATTATACTATGCATTGCATAAAACCTAACTTATGCCTTTCTAGACTTCTTCTCCTCATATTCCTGTCAGCCCAGAAAAAGCCGTATAAAGGCTTGATTTCAGTTTATGCCTGAATTACTGTTGTCATTTCAGGGCACCTCACCTAACGAAACTCTTGTTTCACTACCGTCTGTACCTCCATATACAGGCAGTGAAGAGATGGAGAAAGAAATCGCGTATCCTGATGGAAAGGTAAAGTGAGAGCTTCGTACTCTGAAATTCTACATGATAGCTGTTCTGAAAGCTTGATGGGTATGTGAATCTGATGGCTAAGTATTGACTTCTCTGTAACCTACTCTTTAGGTTGAAAGGGTTTTAAAAAATGGTTGTCACCTCATATTTTTCCCCAATGGGACATGGAAAAAAGTGAGTTCTGATGGGAAGACCATAACTACAACCTTCTTTAATGGGGATGTGATGCAGGTTATGCCTGATCAAACAGTGGTATGTATGCTTATCTATCTTTTGCATTTCCTTTATAAATATGTATTTGTGTGTGTGCGTGCGTGTGTGTGCGCATGAACACACGCACACACACACACGTATATTTAAAATTTGTGGCCAGATATATTAACATGAACTATTTTCTGCAGATCTATTATTATGCCGATGCTAAGACAACGCATACTACATACTCTGATGGCTTAGAGGTCTTGCAATTTTCAAATGGGCAAATAGGTAAAGAAACTACCCAACCTAACCAACCCACCACATTGTCCATATAGATACTTGTATATGCATATAATAAGCATATTGTCTCAAAACTTTTCAGAGAAGCATTATCCTGATGGCAGGAAAGAGATTACGTTCCCTGATCAAACTATCAAAAACTTGTTTCTGGATGGGCAAGAAGAAAGTATCTTTCCAGATGGTACTATTGTTCGTGTTCAGCGGTAAGCTTTACCTTAAAAGGTACCCTGGACCGTTGTTTGATGAGAAAGTAGTATTTCATAGCTAACGGATACATTTTATAGTGATATTTCTGTCTACTTCTCAAACCTTATGTTCAAATGTACTGTACTGTGAACATGTATTTGCTCCTGATATTTTAAGTATTCCTTTTTTGTAGCTTGCAGGAGACACAGAACAGAGTATCTATGCATGTTTTCTCATGCTTTAATCTGAAAGATTTTCCTGAGTTGTGCGTAATTGCAGAGAACACTTAAGAGTGCCGTTTGGGTGCCTCAAGCAGGTCTAACCTCCAAACATTGAGTTTTACATTTTCCCTGGGCTGCTACAGCATTAGATTTAGTGCAGAGAAAATGAGGTAGATAGATAGACACCTGAAATATAGCAAAGTCATGCTAGTTTCTCAGAAACATGCTTTTGTGTACCAACTAGCAGGGATCTTTAACAAAACAAAAATATAATACCTGTGGAAATCCTGAAGTTCTTCCTTCAGTTAGGCTTGTGTATTTAATGTTTGTCCTGAGAGTCAACTTTAGTTTGTGAATTAAAGTATTTTAAAAAATATTAATAAAAATGTATTTAATGCAGTGATGGAAGCAAAACTATAGAGTTTAATAATGGCCAGCGAGAACTGCACACATCACAGTTCAAGAGACGGGAGTATCCAGATGGCACTGTGAAGACTGTGTATATGAATGGACACCAGGAAACAAAGTATGTCTCTGGGAGAGTAAGAGTAAAGGACAAGGACGGTAATATTATCATGGACACTAAGCTGTAGTTGGTGCAAAAACTACTGGAAGTGTTAGCAGCAAAAATAAATGTACATTTCTGTAAACAAAAAGAAAACCCCCTTTAAACTGAAAGTTGTGTATATGTTGTTTATAATTTTCCTGAAATAAATTTATTTTTCAGTGGATGTTACTTTTTTTTTTTTAATATAAATTTTCCAGTCTTGCCTCCTGTTCTACTTTTAGGAAGCAGTTTATCACAGAATGGTTGAGGTTGGAAGGGACCACTGGAGATCATTTCCCCCCCCCCCAGAAGGCACTGAAATGAAACTGTTATCCTTTTGAAGATACTTCTAACAAATACTAAGACTTACATGAATGGAAGTGTTCCTGTTTGGAAGTATCTGAAGAAACAACATAGATAGAGTTTTAAAATAATAGCATGTATTGCTAATCAAGGAAGGGATTGACTGCAGGCACTGGTGAACACAGAAAATGGTGTTTGTAGTGAAATAACTTACATTTCACTGGACCTTACTGTCATCCTTCTATTTTCAGTCTATGTGCCGTTCCCCCTCCTGCTATTCCAAACAGGAGGTCAGACTAGCCCTCAAACATACCCAAATAAGGAAACACAAAGTGGACAGCAACCTTGCCCAAGACTTGAGGATCAAGTAAGCAAGACTGAAGTAAAATACTCATCCCATAGTAACATGGTTTCCCTAGAAGGTGTAAGAGACCTGTTCAAAACCTAGCGTGTTGTAATGAGGGTTCATGCCTTGTCCTCCTTGTTACAGGCAAGGAGTCCTGCACTTAGGTGCTTGTGAAGAAGCAGGGGTGAGTGCTATGAAGATCTGTAACAAAATGACTGAGTAGCTGAAACCAGTTCTGTTTAAAAGGAGCGTCACCTTCCCCTTATACAAGGTTAAGATTTGAATTTTGCTACACTGATTTCCTGTACTGTCTTCCTACCTAATCTAGACAACATTCTCCATGAGGAGACTGCAGAGGCTGAGCTCTATAGTAAAGGATGTACTACACATCCAAAAAACCTTACTGACTATACCAGTAAAAAACCCTAAACTTTCAGATGCATGTTCAGCAAGCTACTGTTTATTCTAACACCTTCCAAATGAATGCTGCATCTCTGGAAGTGGGGAGGAAGTGAAAGGACACACAAAATACATTAATCTGAACTTTACTGAAAACAAAAAACAAAGCACCAATACAAGTGCATTCCAGGAGGGGGCATGGGGCGGGGGGAAGAAAAGAAAAAGCAACAACCCTCCCCGCCCCTGGTTTCCGTTCCTGATTAAGATACTGGTACTGGAGAAGTCTGTCGCCAAAAACACCTGAAACACAAACTAGAGTTACATCACAGGAATATGACTATCACCTTCCCTTCTAAAAGGAGATAACAAACAAGTGTGCCCAGCATTAGCTCTTATATCTATTTAGTGCTCTACATTTATTCCCTCTATTCCTATAAAAAGGATTTCACAAGAGAAAGAGATTTAAGGCTCTAAGTCAAGAATGCCTGAAATGTAAATTGACTTTTCCTATTTCAAGATTCAGAAATCTAGGGAGTATTATCTATAAAAGCAGATCAGAAGAGAGCTTATTAAAGGGAAGGGAAAAGTAGTACACAAAGTAGCGCTGGGCAAAAAGTTTGAGGATCACATCACTATCAGTCCTCAGTATTTTTTGTAGCCACTATATGCTGTGGCTATTTAATTTCATTACATTTTTCCATGTTTGACCAGATGTATGGACATCAGTTAATCATCATGGTATCATGGATCTCAGCCTGCGAACTACTGGCACAGAACATGGAGAGCAAATGCTGATAAGGAACAAATTGTTATGACTGTGGGTAGCAGACATTGCCAATCATTTCCAATTTATCTTTTTCAACGATTAGCAGCAAAAGCTCTTCCTGTTACATTGCCTGAACTTCTCTTTGTTTCAGTTCCTGGTGGTTCTTAAAACTATATACTGTGGGCTTCAGTAATTTGCAATTAAAAAATTTCTCTGCAAAATAACAGCTTTTTGGAATAGTGGGAGTATACACAGCAGGGATCATGGTTAAAAAAAATCCAGTTAAAATGTTTAATATTTATCCTTTAGTGTCCCTGCCCCCACAGGATTTAAACTCATTTTAAAATCAGAAAGCTTGCAAACGTCTAAACAAAACAAAGAAAGCTCTCATGAGTAAAGACATCCAGTTGTAGTAAATCTATATTACAGTGACAATTTAGTCCTTTGCTTAAAACTGCTGATATAATGGCCCTTCATAATGCTATGAATTCGTAGTTCTTATTCACTGTACTTACGCATTACTCATCCAGATCTGCAAATCCCATTTCTATTAGTTTCATATGTACTAGGTTTTGGTCATCTTCAAACAAAGAAATGGTAACCTCTGGTGAAACAGCCTGAAAACCAGGAGTTGACACTTTTCAGAAGCGTGACAAAAAACAGGTTCAAATCTCAAAAGCTAACCAGTATTAAAGTTCACTCTACCAGCTATATTCTCAGCCCAAGTTAGAACTGTGAACATAAAGAATTATTTCTCTTTGTAGCAGAAGGAAACTGGTTTTAAGAAAGAAGAATGCTCAGAAACTTTTCGCTTGTGGGATTAAAAGAAGAGCCACATGATTTTCTCTCTTCATCAGTGGTACCTTCATGGTGAAAGGTTCACTTTTCTTTTTTCCTTCAAATTAATATGGTTCACAGTAAAACAAACACTCAGAAATTATACTAAGACTGCTAATAAGAATTTTGGGCCAAGCAAGAGCTGAAAGACAAAAAAAAAAAAAAAAAACAAGTATAGAAGCAGAGAGCTGTTTTCCTTCAACACACTCCATCATAGCCCACAATGCTTCCATGCTCCATTCTGGGCAATAAGGAATTCTTTTCTTGTTTTTATCATATACAGGAGGTCTAAATCCAGCCAACAGAGCTCGTACTGCCTGAACAGGATAATGCAGCAGATGAGAAGGTATCTGACGCAATCTAAAACAAAATGAAACATTTGCCTCGAACTATCTGTCAAGCTAAACCGTTCATAAGGACAGAAGGATAGCTTAATGATTAATGCAGTAAAGCTAAGGTCTAGAAACTGGAATTAGAATAACTGCTCTACAAAAACTTGCTGGTATCATACTGAACAATTCGGTTAGGCCTAGGCTCTCTAGAGTAATTCAGCATGGTAACAGTCAAGAGGCAGACAAGTATCCTACAGAACCCTCAGAGCGTTAGGCACCCCAGCTTCGCTTACAGTGCCTGGGGAGGAGATCCAAGTGCCTGCCACAGATTTGAGTAAGGAATGCAAAATCAAATCATGCAAGGTAACCAGGGGACACAATGCAGGCTCCAAATCTGTTGTGTCTAGAAAACGACAGGGACCTTTGCAGTCAGAAGCGTTCATTCCTCCAAGCATCCTAGTCAAATTACTAAAAAGAGGTAGTTTAATATTATCTCCCACTTCTCTCTCTGTCCATCGAAGAAGCAAGGGGTAGAAGCAGAGCAGGAAGTGCAATCCTGTTTTTAAAAAAAAAAAAAAAAAAAAAGCCCTCTCCCCAGCACCCTAGTAGTTTGGGAAGTAGGTACTCGGTTCAAATCTAAATGTTGCTCATGTTACACAAGGGCCTGTAGATACTTCAATGCTCTTGAAAGCAAGTCTCTATGATTAAGTAGTAGTTATACAAATGAAAGAGCTGCAACAGAGAAAATTTAGAGAAGCTTAGGCAACCCAAAAGCCTGAGCGTTTGAGACGCTTACCTGGCGTTTGCGGGCTGAGGAGCAGTTCCCAGACTGGCTCAGCACCAGACAGAACAGGAATTTGATCTTCTCTTTTCCACACAAGCAGCAGGGGGTGTGGCCCACTAAAACCCTCATCTTATTCCCCAGCTGTCTCCTGTGCAGCCTGTACCTTGTTGACATGTGTGCCAAGTAGTCTCACAGGATCAGACGATGCCTGCACCTGCAGGGTTCTGTCCCTATTTTGTGTAAACTTCTCAGGTGCAAAAGCAGATTATAAACCCAAGCCTACTTCACAGGTTGTGAAGCACGTACCCTGAAGATGATGGAGCAGTCAGATATTATAATAATGGGTCACAGAACCCGAGAAAGGGAGGCAGGTACAACCTACCTCTGCAGACAGAAACTCATTTAACCTACCTCTGCAGACAGAAACTCATTTAACCAGCCAACCAGCTTTCTCTCCAACTGAAATTTAATACTGAATTATTATTTATAATATATCTATAATTATATGCACAACTATACAGTATATATAGCTTTATAAGTGAATATTATATACATTATATATATTAGGTAAGTTTATATATTTATATACTCATATATTTACCTGCTGGCTGGGACAACTGAAAAATTACCATAGTCAACAAATTGAATGAGGACCTTAACAGGGTCAAATTCTTTAACAGCGAGGAGCTTTGCTCTATACCATAAACCATCATTGTATTCAACAAGGCAAGGCATTTCTGTAAAAAGAAAAAAAAAAACAACACCCACCAACGTATACTCACAATGCAATGCAAACTGGATGACCTTTAAAATCAGTTTTATTGCATAACTGATACTTCAAACTTTTACTACTTCATATTGCTATTTTATGCTACGCATCCTCCAATTCTCTCGGCACTCCAATTCACAATCATTACTATGCAATTTAGGTCAAGTTTCTGCACCTCAAATGGCAACTGTGAGACTTAACAGAAAATTGCTTGGTAAAGATGGAACCAACCCATTTAACACCTAAACTCTTACTTTGACTCATTCACATATTCCAGTTCGTAAACAGATCAATCTATAAAGAGCTGTCTGATAGAGACAGTCTTGAGGAAAAAAGGCAGATATTGTCTAAAAGCTCACGTAGAATTCTCCTCGTTGGTAGAATCAAGACCTAGCAACAACTAGCTTCCTCACAAAGCTCTAGACCCAGAAGTTTTATATTGCTGTAGGCCTAGCAATTGTGGATAAGAGAATGAAAGTCCTTCTTTCACCTAAATTGAGAAATCCAGAATTGAAGGGAACTCTCTAGGGTTCACGTAATTTTAAGGTTTCGGTTACATGACTTTCTGTACACAAAC